AGTACTATATCTTGTTAAATTTATAGCCTGTATATTTAAAATAAGGAAGGCAAAGCGCCATTGTTGTTCACTTAATCATTTACCAAATAATTTGAATAGCCTGTGTTGAAATGAATGATTTCATTAATTGTTTGAAAAATCAAACTTTTATAGTGATGTTAGTTAGTAGCATAAATGTGTATTATGTAACTTATAAGACTTGTCGTGATTATAAACTGAATCGTGATCCTGCTTCTAGATGGAAACGGAGCTTTACAGAATTATCAGTGACTACTTGAAAAATCATAGAGAGAGGCTGGCTACAAAGGATGCTGATAACATTTTTGTGGTAAGAAGATTAGCCTAGTAAATGATTGCATAACTTGAGGAGAGAGTCATGGGTCCCGCAGGGTGAATTTAAGGACTGTTCCATTTTCAGATGCAATTCTCATCCTAGCTGGGGGTGAGCATTTCTTAAAATTTGTGGTTGTCTGATAGAAAAAGAGGTCAGCCTAATTTAGGAACAGAGCATATGGTTATGGCCAGTTTTCCGGAAGGTTATCTTGCAAAATAAATCATTCTATTCGGGTAAATGCAAGGAAATACTCATCTTTTTAGCCAGGACTCAGGGTGAATAGTGAATAGTGTTAAAACAAAATAATCCAACTAGGGTGATTTGAGCAAAAAATTCATCTTGACAGGGTTAATTTTGACAATTATCCATTCATCGAGGGTGATTCTTAGCTGTCATTCACCCTAACCCAAACTGATATGTACCTTTGTTTGAAACAGTAGCAATGCATGGATGTTATTTTAATTCCGCTCCAATCTCTACTTGTCTAGAATTCATTTGGGAGCATGTTCTCTCCATCATCCTACACCAGACATCTCCAATTGCTTTTCGAAAGGTTGACAGGAAAGCAAATATCAGTGAACTGCCTGAGGTCAGCCTTCATTACGTACGCCTATTCACAAGAGTAAGTCGACAAATTGCGTATAGGCATTGCATCCTAGAGCAATATCAATGATGGAATTCATTGAGCTCCTATCTAGTTTTATTAGTCTATCATATTTTAAAAGTTTTAATTATGAACTTTATTTTAATCCTATCCAGTTTTCTCCACTTAAACATAAATACTGCTAAATTATGCCAATTCTATTGTTTAATTTAGCACTATTTTGTAGTAAATAGTGGAAAGTGTTGCACGCTTCATGTGTTTGTACTCTACATTCTGATGACACAAACTTGAATGCACTGAATTTCATTAATGTTTGTTTTTACAGGAATTGCTCCGACAGTTTGAAAGAGAGCCTCGCGTCTGCTTTGAGACACTCAGTGAAGCAAGGTACAAATTTTAAAAGGAATTGTTTTTGTTGCTGAGGCTGTTTGCTTAATGTTTTTGTTTCTATGTTCTCAAGACTTATATTTACATCTTTTGTTGGCTAAGGATGTCAAGTACAATTTTCATATTATTTTAAAATATACAAACAACTATACAACGCAAAGATTTTCATTGTTTTGCAAAAGTTGTCACACAATATTCTGGACAAAGTTATCACAATGTCAACTGAAAAGGAACAATATGATTGAGAATTTATAATTGTAGAAATAAAAAAATATATATGCTTCGGCTACACACAATAATAATAATAGTAATAATAGTAATTGTTTTTTTCCTCTCCTCTCCCGTAGCACAGGCAGTTTACGATCGCAGAACGCAGAACCAAAAGAAAAGTCAGGCCATGGCGCTCGCCAGGAGTATGGCCGAAGAGGAGAGTTCTGGGTGCACGCCTTGTGAAGGACAGCTAGCTTCTACATCAAAACAGCAACAGAGAGAGTTCAAGCCAGGCCAATTTGTTGCAGTTCTTCAGGAAGAAAGCACTCTTAAGAGCCCAGTTTTTTTTATAGGCAGAATATTGTACTACAGAAATAACTCAGATGAAATTGAATTGCTCTGGTACAAGAATGTCAGGGGTGGAGATTACAAATTGACTTTTGAAGGGATTCCATGGGTTGAAAAAGAAGAAAGTTTGACTTTGGTCAAAATGTCTCCATCAAAGAAGCTTGTCGATCAATATAGGCTGGATACAGCTCCCAGAACAATTCACAAAACAGCGGTTTCTTATAAGTGATTGGTCATGTCAGTCAAATGTATTCTCTGCTGTGTACTGCAAACATTATTTCATTGCAAATAGTCAAAGATGTGAATTATGCATATTAGTATTGGTTTCAGAAGGAAATAAAAGCCATTGAATTTGTGATTTCCATGATGACAGCATAATATATCTCCCCAGTTTAATAAATTGCCCAGCTATGGCATGAGAACGTCACACCAAAACATTTTGTTGTTTGAGTGACTGCATATCAAATCAAAACTAAATGCACTTGAGTTCTAATTTTGCAAAGAATGTCAATAGGCCCGAATTTTGAGTGTTTCTGAGCATGTATCAACAATTAATTGGGCTCCCTGTGTCTGCACAGTCCACAGGAAGACCGCATTATAGACCTAGACATGTTGTAACGTATTCAGACTTGCCCGAAATCGTGCCCGGGCGTGTTCTAAAACCACAGGTAGCCCGAGCTCTCCAATAGGCGGTTTTAGCTGAAATTTGATAACAAATCAAACAAATTAGCGAGTTCGAATCTGACAACATTCTCAATGATGTATGATAACTGATCAATCAATTAAACATCCACACTATAAATATCATACAAAAAATTTAGAAATTGGAGTTCCTGTGGTTTAAATGAGCCTTGAACTGACCAGCGGTGTACACCACCAATTCAAAATGGCGTCTGTTGTAAATGTAAACTCGGATCAACTCTTTTTTTTCTCCCTAAAGGTGCTTAAGAATTTGTAAGAAACGGTTGAAAGAGTGGACGTGACGCAGGTGAATTTGATGCGAGACTCAGGTGAGAAGATTGTCTCGTGCGATTTGTAGTATTCACAAATCAGTGGCTGGATGTTGACAAGTGCGGTACTANTTGTAAAATGTTCAAGATATAACAGAATACAAATAACATGACAACACATGCCAGATACACCTACTGCGCATTCGCAGTGTCCCTGGGATGGCTTTCCATTTCTAAAGAGAATGACAGCTTGCCTAGTTGTTCCATTGCTAAAACTTTTGTAAATATTGCACTTGATAAAAATTTTATTTTCCTCTTTAAGAACTTTCACAGTTTTCACTCTTCTACTGTTGAACATTCTTACTGCTTTTCGATATTGTCCTTTACAGCCTTCACGTTTAAGCTTTTGATAGAATTTTATATTGTCTTCTGTTACCTAAGAATATTAAAATTCGATAAATATAAACATCGAACATTGTTCCTTGCAAACTAAAATTGTGACATTTCATCAAATATACGCTGACCTTGGGATAATAAGTAGAATCTGAAAGCCATTGCGCCTCTTGAGGAGGAATATCCTTCTTACATAGTCTTGACTTAAACTTGAATTCTTTTGATTGTTTCTCGATTAGTTTGTCTAACAACTCGGGGTTTTTCTTCAATCTGCATACCCTTTTCGTAAGCTCTTCCTTAGTTCCGGATACACTTAAACCTAGTTCACTAGCGCATTTTCTTAAAATATCATTACTCCAGCTTTCCGGATCATCTTTTGTAATTATTTCCTTTATATTCTCTAAAGAAATTGTTTTTTTCTCACTTTTGACAAGCTTTCCCGCTACCGCCATATTGTTGAAACACGCGGCAAATTCACTCCCGTCCGGATTTTTCTGAACTAGATACCAGTCCCTCTCGGCTTGAAATCTGGCAATAACTGTGACTTTATATTCTCTGCTGGTTGTTTCTCTATGATGTCTAGTGTGTGGAATGTTTAGTATGACATAAATTTTGCACACTGCACAGAAAGCAAAATGCTCAAGGTCATGACTGAGATAGCTGACATTGAGCTTGAATCCTGCATGTGCTCAATTTGACTGACACATTTTTCTTTTCTTTCAGATTCAGTGGTCTTTTTGGGGGAAATAATTGKCTTWGCAATGAAAAGCCAGCRTACVTMCAGTTCAGGGCTAGTTCTTCTCGTCTAACGGCTGTCTTGAGGACTGCAGAGACTGAGCTTCCCATCTAAAGCTGGTTACTCAAGGAATGTCTTTGCAGCCACACCTAGACTGTGCTACTTAGCTACTTGGCACGCAGGTAATTAGTGATCATTGTCTTTATAGCCGGCTAGCTGTGCTCTGGCACTGAGCCTCAGGGACCTGCACCAGAGTGCAAGCTTGCGGCCAGCCCCCTCTGCCATGGACCTTGTGTGCGGCCAGGCCTAATGACCCATTTTTAAAAGACTCTTGGTAGTATTGMACTGCAGTGTGTAGCATACACAGCATTCTTCAGTACTAAATGTGGAATACATGTCATTGCCTGATTTCAAGCCGAGTGAGACTGGTCACTAGTTTAGAAAAATCCGGACGCAAAAAACAAAATGGCCACCATTGTAGAAGTTTAGAGTGTTATTTTAGCTAGATATTTATAAGAAAAACATGGTTTGGCATTGGAATTGTGCAAGTTCACTATGTTTTAACAGCTGGCGAACCAAAGGTGTGCATTACTACCATTTACCTATAAAAAACTTGGAGTTACAGCACGAATATGCGAAAATCTTGAAGAACGAAAAAGTGAATTGGAAAAAACAAGTGATATGTTCAGCACACTGGACAGGAGGTAATCGACTATCGAAAGATCATATTCCAGACATCATTTGTAGTGAGGAACAAATGAAGAAAATCAAAAAGATCAGTGAGCTACGACCAAAAGATAACGATATGAAGAAAAAGTTGATGTGTGCTCAAAGGATCATAACACAGCAAGATCACATTGGCAAGAAACGAAAAGCCCCCAAATGTAGATCTCAAGTGCAAGCGAAGAAGAGGAAGAGACGAAAATCAAAACATGAATTAGAGGTACAGAATGATAAACTAAAGAAACAATGTGATGCGTTTAAATTAGAGAATGAACATCTGAACTCAAAAGTTTCAGAGGTCCAGAATGAAGTCAAGAGACTGCACAAAGAAATTAATGCATTACAAGAAAATCTTCAAACTGAAAAATCTGTTTTCAATAGCAAGCTGAAAAGAATGAAGTATGAACTAAACAAGCGAACTTTTACTTACAACAGTTTAATTGAAAATGGCAAAGAATTCTTCGAACTATGCGGATTAACTATCAACGAGTTTGACTGTGTTTATGAGTGCTTAGAACCATTCACTCATTTATTGGCCTACCCAGATTGTCAACAAGATAAGAAAAAGAATTTTAACAACAGACTGCTTGATGAAAAAACTGAACTAATGGTTACTTTGACTATTGCAAGACACAATGTTGACCTGGTAATCATGGCAAAGCAAGTTGGAGCAAGTTCCTCTACAATGTCGAGAGTGTTTGTAGCATGGATGGCTCTTATACGTTGTGTTTTTGACAGTATAGATCTAAAGCCATTGCCTGGCTTTGTTGAAGCTTTCCTGCCAAAGAAATTTGTTGATGCCGGGTATGCAGAATGTGGAATTCTTGGTGATAATACTGAGACATGGGTGAGTCAGTTCGAAAACTATGACATTAATAATTTGACATTCTCACATTACAAAAACCACACAACAGGCAAAGTCTCTGTTTGGATTTATCCACATGGTGCCCTGTGTAAATGTTCTGAAGCTTACCCTGGAACCATATCAGATGAACAAATCACAGAACAAATTAATGTGTTGGATTTATGTCCTAAAGGAAAAATTGTCATGACTGACAAAGGTTTTGCAATCACTGATTTGTGTCATGAAAAGGGCTTGCATCATAATAGACCACCTATGAAGTTTAAACATCAATATGATGAAAATGAAGTCAGCTTGAATTTTGACATCGCAACTCTGAGAATACATAATGAAAATGCTATAGGCCGTATCCGTGATTGGTCTATATTGAATGCTTGCTGGCCTGCAGGGAGAGTGGATCTACTTGGCACTTGCTGGATTGCATTGGCACATATTGTTAACCTTACAAAAGAACCAAGTGGTCCAAAAGACTAGAAACACTTATAAAAAATGTACTCTACTGACTTTTGCTGCTTGCTTCTTGACCCATGTCCTGAGTGGTTTTAAAGACTCAAATGTAGGGACTTTGTTGAGGTTGAGTTCGCCTGCTTTTTTTAGTAAATTTACTTCCTCGTGAGCCCATGATGTAATTATAGTGTTAGTTATCATGTGATCAATTACCATCTTAACTACATCTAGAAGAAGATTATTTCTTTCAATTAAAAACACATTTGAAGACTTTGTTTCTGGCAAATAAGACTGCAAAAATGTAATAGTTGCCCCTGTTAGAGCCATCTGAAAATTGGTTTGCAATAAATGATCTGCAGTTATTGCTGTTAATGGTTCCTTGCTTCCTGCAATTCTAGTTTTGATCTCTAGCAAATATGCTGGTCCAATCCCATCAGGACTTCCTCCATATTTATTATCATTGGGATGGGTAAAGTAACCACAAGTACTGACAGGGACACCAGTGAATGCTTCAAAAGTCACTCTGGCCTCATTTTCAAATTCATGTCCCCTAGCAAAACTTTTGAATTTCTTAGGTCTGACTTTACTTGGATCAATGTTATTAGTAATGCATGTTAATATGTGTTGGTGCTCTTTTTTTCCTGAAAAACCAATTAGATTACCAATTGCACTGCAGGTGACTTTACCGATTCTTAACTTTAGCCAATCTTCTGAGTTTTGTTCTACAGCATGATAATTAAATCCAAGTGGTTTTAAACATGACCATTTAGGAATAGATAAGTGTACTTCATCCTGTTTATCATTTAAATCTTTTTTGCTATCTGCTATTATTGCTTTCAAAATATCCACCTTTTTCTTTGTTTCTGTATGCTCATACATAGGAGTTTGCTGAGTGTCAATGGTTCCTTTACCCTGTGTACTATGCTGATTAGTTGTTTCAGAATTATTAGCTTGAGCACTACTTTGCAGTGGAACATGCCAGGTATCCTTATGGTGGCTAAACTTGGGTTTTAGAGGTAATGGATAAAACAAACCAGGTGTGTAATCATGTTCTTGGAGAGCCTGCTTTACCCTATGATTGTAGTTATAATTAAGTTGACCAAACAACCCAGAATTCAAATGATATTTTTTCAGAGTTGTGTAAACATGATTCTCTACATTAATCTTTGATTCGTTGATACCTGTTTCTGTTTTTGAAATAATATCACTGATATCTCTTTTCATCCAATCACTAACTTCCATTGTAGATTCATTTAATACCTGTGTATTTATTTTCTTTTTGGTGCGTAC